TCTCTCTCTGTCTATCTCCCTCCCTTCCCCTCTAAAAATAAACAAATAAAATCTTTAAAAAAAAAAGACCACTGTTCCCTTGTTGATTTTCTGTCTGGGTCATCAATCCATTGATGTCAATGGAGTATTAAAATTCCTACTTATTGTATTACCATTGATCTCTCCCTTTATTCTGTCAATATTTGTTGTATATATTTAGGTGCTCTTACATTGGGAGTGTACATGTTTTCAACAGTTAAGTCTCTTGTTAGATTCATCATTTATTATAAAGTGCTCTTATTTTTGTCTTGTTACAATCCTTGTTTTAAAGTCTGTTTTGTCTGATACAAGTATTGCTACCCTAGCTTCATTCCCATTTGCATGAAATCTTTTCCCATCCCAATATCTTTTCTGATCCCTTTACTATCAGTCTGAGTGTCTTTTGATCTGAAGTGGGTCTCTTGTAGGCAGCATGTGTATTGGTCTTGTTTTTGTAATCCATTTAGCTACCCTACTACATCTTTTGATTAGAGCATGTAGTTTATTTACATTTAAAATAATTATAAATAGGCATGTAGTTACTACCACTTCACTAATAGTTTTATGATTTTTTGTAATTCTTCTCTTTTACTTTTTTATCTCTTATTCTCTTTTTCGAATGTTGACTTACTGTAGTGTTATGTTTGGATTCCTTTCTCTTTTTTTGTTGTATATGTCTTACAGATTTTTGGTTTGTGCTTACCATGTGCTTTATATATACCAAACTATGTTTATAGTAGTCTATTTAATTGATGGTTGCTTAAGTGAACACATACTAAATCACTACAATTTTTACTCACCTACACACATTTATGTTTTGACACTATTTTTACCTCTTTTATGTGGGTTTATATGTATCCCATAATTTATGGTTGTAATTGCACATGATCTTCCAATTTCTGTCCTTATAGTTGATTAATCCACTACTTTTATTCTTGCCTTTGTCATTGAGATATTTTTCTTTCCTATATTTTTTTTCATATTTTTTATCTTTTTTTCTTAAAAAGTCCCTTTACTATTTCTTGTGATACTGGCTTTGTGGTAATGAATTCCTTTAGATTTTCTTATATGGTTATCTCTTTACCTCTGCTTTGATTTTAAATGATACCTTGCTGGCTGGAGTAACTTTGGTTGAAGGTCTTGGTCTTTCATCACTTTGAATAACCTATACCAGTTCCTTCTGGCCTGCAAACTTTCAGTTGACAAATCAGCTCACAATCTTTTGGGAGCTCCCTTATAGGTAACAGATTGCTTTTTTTGTGTGGCTCTTTAGAGTCTCATTGTCTTTAACTTTTAGCATTCTACTTATGATGTATCTTGGTATAGCCCTCTTTGTATTCATCTTATTTGGGACTTTCTGTGCTTCCTAGATTTGTATGTCTGTTTCCTTCACCAGGTTAGGAAAGTTTTCCATAATTACTTTTTCCATACATTTTCAATTTCTTGCTCTCCCTCTTCTCCGAACACCCCTATGATGCAAATGTTGACACACTTGAAGTTGTCCCAGAGGACCCTTATACTGTCCTCATTTTTTTTTTGATGTTTCAACTGGATGTATTTACTACCTTATGTTGCAAAGCAGTGACTCAGTTCACTGTTTCGTATAATCTGTTGTTAATTCAATCTAATGTATTCTTCATTTCGGTTATTGTATTCCTCAGTTCTGTTATATTTTCTACTTTTATGATGTTTCCTATATCTGTACTGAAGCTCTGAGTTCATGTACTCTTCCTCAATGTTAATTGATTATAAAAAATCCTTATAAACAGTATTTTAAACTCAATATTTGGTAGATTGCTTCTTTTTCATTTTGTTCTTTCATTCTGGAGTTTTGTTCTGTTCTTTCTTTAGGAACATGGTTCTCATCTCATTTTGATTGATTCCCTGTGCTTGTTCCTATGTATTAGGTAGATCTGTTATGTTTCTCTGTCTTAACAGAGTGGCCTTATATAGTAGATGTCATACAGGGCCCAGTAGTGCAGTTTCCCTGGTCACTGGAGTCATGTGCTCCAGAGATGTCTTTTAAGTGGTTTGTATGAGCTCTCCTATTGTATTTGGGCATTGATTGCTGGTAGCACAGTAGTGGGTGGGAATTGATCCTCAGGATGACTGGCTGTGAGGGCCTGCAGCAATTACAGAGGAGAAGCTGTTACATGGGGCCTGACCCCACAGAGTGGCATTTGCTTTATTGTGATTCTGGTGCCGAATGAAGCCATCTTTCTGATGTGTAAATTGTGGTTCTGGTTGGGTAGGGCTCTGCTGTATTCTGAAGCCATATATTGTGTATATACACAATATATGAAGCCATATATTGTGTCTGAAGCCTCTTGGGAGGTGCTCTCTTTTGGGCCTATATCAGCTGCCATTTTTGCCAGGCTTGGGGCCACTTGGCAGGAGCTACAAAGTGATGTGAGGTTGCTTGCTGCTTCTGCTGGGGTTGGAGGTGCTTGGGAGAGTGTGAACTGAGCCAGGCTGAGACTTGTACTGCACTTGGGACACTTCGGTGGACACCAAAATGCAAGCTGAGTCTGGTAACTGCTTTATTGTTTGTGGACCTTTGAGAGAGTCTGCAGCCAGGAGTCATGTGAGATTCACAGATTTCAAGGAAGGTCTGTAGCACAAGCTGAGGCAGGCTACTTATGTGGAGCCTCTGGAAGAGGCTGGGGCCAGGTGACCAAGTTGGGTGGGGTGTAGTCTTTGGGAGTGACCATGGAAGAGAGAATGATGTTAGCCAGGTTAATCAAGATTGGTCACCCTCCTGTGTTTGGTCACCTGGATAGGGAGAGAGGTCCACAAAGGAACAATGGTGCTTGCTGGCACTCTTGTCTCTGGAGTTGCCCCAATCTCTCTCTCCAACCTTCAGCCTGAAGTTGGTTAATTTAGTTCTTCTATATCTGTCCCTGGCACTTTTCAAGCTATTGCTCAAGCTTAGAGTGAGGGAGCTTGTAAGCAAGTAAATCTGTGTGCAGGCCATTTAAGAGCAATGCCTTGCTCTCTAGCAGCCCTGTCTTTCTTGCATGTATTTCCCCTGTTTTTCCCAGTCAGGTGTTAATGGGTCTTTTCTTCCCAGCACTGGTGCTCCTGGTTGGGGAGCCTGGTGTGGGGCTGGCATCCCTTGCTCCTTATGGGGGACCTCTGCATCTGAGATACCCCTTCCAATTTTTAATCACCACCCATGGGTGTGGGACCAGCCCATTCCACATCTCTGCCCCTCCAGTCTTCACATGACTTCTTTATATCCTTATTCATAGGAGTTCTGTTCAGCTAGACTTAAGGTGTTTCTCAGTGATGCCTGTTCTATAATTTAGTTGTAATTTTGATGTGGTTGTGGGAAGAGGAGAGCTCAGAGTTTACCTACTTCACCATCTTGACTCCATGCTCTTCATTTACCCTTTCTTTAATTTCCTTTATTTTCCTTTATTTCCTTTATTTTCCTTTATTTCTGAAGATTAAAGTTTCTATTAAGTATGATTTTCCTTTAAGTTGAAGAATTTCTTTTATTTTAGCATTCCCTGTAAATCAAATTAGCTGGTGACAAATGTTTTGTCTTCTTCAATCTAGAAATATCTTTTGCTTCACATGCATTCCTGAAAAAATTTTTTCATTGGATATGAGGAAGGGAAAAATGTATACTTCTCCCATGTTTCTCCTCCACTCTCAATACTCTCCTATACTCACAACACTTCACATCTGACATCATATGTGTGGTTTTTCCATATATCAAGCAATTTTTTGCAACATCAGCTGAATGTCTTATAATGCAATCCAGTCCTGATACTAACTGCAGTTAGTACAGACCCCACAGGCTAAGGGCTCATTCCCTCAAGAGAACCCTCCACTTTTGTCAACACTTTCAAGTAGTAGGTCTCTAGATTATCCAGAAATTTTGTCTACATTTGCTACAAATTGGATGTTCTCAAGACCTCTTCCTTGGATTCAGTCATTTGCTAGAACAGCTTATAGGACTTAGACATAAATCACATTTACCAGTATTATATAATACACAATATGATAAAGGATATAGTTGAACAGCCAAATGAGAGACACATAGGGCAAGGTCTGGAAGGGTCCCCCAAGTGCAAGAACACTCTCCCTGTGGAGTTGGGATACCCCACCCTCCTGGTTCATGGTTCTGTTTACCAACCTGAAAGCTCTCTGTATACCATACTTTTGGCATTTTATGAAGGCTTCATCATAAAAGCATGACCAATCATTAACTCCATTTTTAGCCCCTCCTTCTTTACCAGGGGATGGGGGAAGGGCTGAAACTTCCAAGCTTCTAATCGTGGCTCGTTCTTTCTCATGACCAGCCCCTATCCAACAGCCCTTCCAGAGCCTTCTGATTAAAGTGAAATACATTTCTATTCCCCAGGAAATTCCAAAGGGTTTTGGAACTCTGTCAGATAGCCCTTGAAAGATACTTCTCCATTGTTTCTGGCTCAGATTTATTTCTGTGATACTTTCTGATGAGAATTTTGCAGATATTTAAATCATTGTTCCCCTTGAAGATAGAGACCCTATCATGGATCTTGTTCAGCATTACTTAACACAGTCCCTGATACATAGTTGGTGTGTAGTAAATGTTTCTTGAATTTATTTTGATTGTATTAAATTTTTAGTACATTAATATAAAGAGGCTTATTAGGGTTCCATTTTGGCAGGATCTGACATTCTTACAGGTATTACTACTGTTATACTTTATAATAAAAGGTCATTTTAGTAGGCTTGAATTATCACATGAAAGAAAATATGCATTAGCAACTTTCTGAAATGGTCTATTTCCTCAGTTTTTCCTTGGTTAATTGGTTTCCTTTTCTTGTAAAAGAAAAACTGGAGGCAAGCACACCCTGCCCCCAGGTGTTTTTGCATAGAAACTACTCATTTAATGAAATAATGGACAGTTAAGGGGCATCCAGAAAGTATTGAGTCAAAAAGTGATCTGAGAAAATTCTGTGTTTCATAACATTACATCTGATGTTTAGTATACACAGAGAGAATTAAATACAGCAGAGATTTCCTGTTGAAGCTCTCAAGTGTTTCCATCTGCAGGAAAAAAATGGACTTTCTGCCTGATCATCCTATTGTACTTCAAAAACCAGTAAGTGCTTTTCTAATTTTGTATAATTTTTATTTCCAAAATATTTGTCATTCTTATTTTCATTTTGTTGGGTCTTGATTTTTAATTTTTCTCATTGTGAAAATAATTCAGAAAAGTACATAAATGTAAATGTATGATATAACCAATTACTATAAGTAATTACCACTCCAGTGAACAAATAGAATGGAATTGTTGTATTTTAAGAAAATATGACAGGTCATGAAAAGAGCATGCCATATTTTCTCCTAAAAGTACTATTGTTTTGTTTTCCAAGTAAGTTCAATAATCTACCTGGAATTGATTTTGCTGCATATAAGGTAAAATTATATTTTTTATTTTCCTCTATGTGGATCTCCAGTCATCCTAACAATGTTTGTTTATTTATTTATTTATTTATTATATTGTATTGATTATGCTCTTATAGTTATGCAGTTGTTCACCCAGCATCCCCTACTCCCTCAGGCAATCCTCACACCATTGTTCAGGTCCATGGGTCATGTATAAGTTCTTTGGCTACTCCATTTCCTATACTGTACTTTACATCCCCATGGCTATTCTGTAACTACCCATTTGTACTTCTTAGTCCCCTCATCTCTTTACCCATCCCTCCATACCAACTCCCACCTGACAACCATCAAAACAGTCTCAATATCCATGATTCTGTCTCTGTTCTTCTTATCTGCTTCATTTGTTTTCAGATTCAATTGTTGATAGATACATATTTATTTCCATTTTATTGTTTGTAGTTTTGATCTTTTTCTTAAATAAGCCTCCTTTATTGTTTCATTACTTTCTTTTTATTTTCAATTTTTTTAAAGATTTTATACTTTTATTTTTAAAGAGGGTAAGGGAGGAAGAAAGAGGGAGAGAAACATCAATGTGTGGTTGCCTCTCAAGCGCCCCCAGCTGGGAACCTGACCCACAACCCAGGCATGTGCCCTGACTAGGAATCGAACCTGTGACTCTTTGGTTCACAGGCCGGCGCTCAATCCACTGAGCCACACCAACCAGGGCTATTTTTAAATTTTTTATTGTTCAATTACAGTTGTCTCAAATTTTCCCCCATTGCTCTCCCCTGCCCCACCCAACCCCTACTCCCTCAGTTAGACCCTGTCCCATTGTCCATTAACATGGGTGCTTTGTACAGTTCCTTGACTAGATCTTTCCCCTGTTATTCCTCCCCCCACCTTTGGTCACTGTCAGTTTGTTCCTTATTTCCATGTCTCTGCTTCTATTTTGTTCATTTGTTTGTTTGTCCATTAGGTTCCACTTATAGATAAGATCAGATGGTATTTGTCTTTCACTGCCTGGCTTATTTCACTTAGCATAATACTCTCCAGTTCCATCCATGCTGTCACAAAGGGTAGGAGGTCCTTCTTTCTTTATGCTGTGTAGTATTTCATTTTGTAAATGTACCACACAGTTATTTTATCTACTCAATTACTGATGGGCACTTAGATAAGTCCCTTAAACATTTTATATAATATTGGTCTGGTAATGATGAACTCCCTTAGTTCTTTTCTGGTCTGAGAAGCTCTTTATCTGTCCTTTGATTCTAAATATCTTTTCTAGGTAGAGCAATCTTGGTTTTAGGTCCTGCTTTTCATGACTTTGAATATTTTTTTGCTAATCCTTCTAGCTTGCAAAGTTTTTTTTTAAGAAATCAGCTGACAGTCTTATGGAAACTCCTCTGTAGGTAACTAACTGCTTTTGTCCTATTACTTTTAAGATTTTCTCTTTATCTTTAACCTTTGGCAATTTAATTATGATTTTTTGGAGTGAGCCTTTTTGCATCCATCTTGTTTGGCACTCTCTGTGCTTCCTGGGCTTGCACATCTATTTCTTTCACCAAACTAGGGAAGTTTCATTTCACTATTTTTCAAATAAATTTCAAATTTCTTGCTCTTTCTCTTCTTCTGGTACTTCTTATTTTCTAAATCATTGATTTAATTTTTGGCTTTAGTCCCCTCTACTATTGTTTCCCTATAATTTGTTCTTTATTTCAATTAGTGTATACTTCATTTCAGACTGAATATTTCTTTGTCTCCTTATTTTGTTATCCTCCCTGTGTTTGTTTCTATGTATTAGGTAGAGCTGGTATGATTCCCTGTCTTCATAGCATGACCTAATGTAGTAGGTGTCCTATAAGGTCCAGGGGCACAACCTCCCCTGTCACCCAAGCAGGGTAGTTGAGGTGTTCCCTTCATGTGGACTGCATACACCTTCCTCTTGTAGTTGAGCTGTTATTGCTGTTGGAAGATCAATGGGAGGGATTTATCCAGTGGGTCAGCTGCAATGACTGGCTGTGACCACTTGGAGGATCAGCTGTGAAGGGGCTGGGTGGTGGTACTCCAATGTGGTCTGATGCTGTCCACTGGGTGCACAGGTTCTGGGGTTTCCCAGGTGGTGCAGGCCAAGGTCAGCCCCCACTTTTTTTTTACTTTCATATACCCTTTACTTAGTTTACTCCAATGGCAACATCTTACAAAACTATAGCACTATATCACAGACAAGGTATCAATAGTATAGAAATAGAAAACATTTCCATCACCACAAGGATCCCTGGCATTGTCCTTGTATGGCCACATCTACTTCCCTCTGGTCCTATCTCCTCTTTAACCCCTAGGCAATCACTAAACTGTTCTTTTTTCTTTTTTAAAAAATATAGTTTATTGATTATGCTATTACAGTTGTCCCATTTTTGCCCCTTCACTCCCCTCCACCCTGTACACCCTCTCCCACCCATGTCCCCCACTTTAGTCATGTCCATGTGTCATACGTCCTTTAGCTTCTACATTTCTCATACTATTCTTACCCTCCCCCTATCTATTTTCAACCTACAATCTATGCTACTTACTCTCTGTACCTTTTTCCCCTCTCTCCTTCTCCCACTCCCCTGTTGCTAACCCTCCATGTCATCTCCATTTCTGTGGTTCTGTTCCTGTTGTAGTTGTTTGCTTAGTTTCTTTTGGTTTTGCTTTAGGTGTGGTTGTTAATAATTGTGAGTTTGCTGTCCTTTTACTATACATGTTTTTTCTGTATCTTTTTTTCTTAGATAGGTCCCTTTAATATTTCATGAAATAAGAGCTTGGCGATGATGAACTCCTTTAACATGACCTTATCTGAGAAGCACTTTATCTGCTCTTCCATTCTAAATGAAAGCTTTGCTTGATAGAGTAATCTGGGATATAGGTCCTTGTCTTTCATGACTTGGAATACTTCTTTCCAGCCCCTTCTTGCCTGTAAGGTCTCTTTTGAGAAATCAGCTGACAGTCTGATGGGAACTCCTTTGTAGGTTACTGTCCTTTTATCTCTTGCTGCTTCTAGGATTCTCTCCTTCATTTTTACCTTGGCTAATGTAATTATGATGTGCCTTGGTGTGTTCCTCCTTGGGTCCAACTTCTTTGGGACTCTTGAGCTTCCTGGACCTCCTGGAAGTCTGTTTCCTTTGCCAGAATGGGGAAGTTCTCCTTTATTATTTGTTCAAATAAGTGTTCAATCTGTTGCTTTTCCTGTTCTTCTTCTGGTACCCCATAATTCGGATGTTGGAACATTTAAAGGTGTCCTGGAAGTTCCTAAACTTCTCTTTGTTTTTTTGAATTCTTATTTCTCCATTCTTTCCCGTTTGGTTGTTTTTTTTTTCTTCCTTCTGGTCCACTCTATTGTTTTGAGTCCCAGTTTCCTTCCCATCACTATTGGTTCTCCGTGCATCTTCCTTCATCTCTTTTATGGTAACCTGCATTTTTTCATCTAATTTGCACCCAAAATCAACCAATTCTGTGAGATTCCTGATCACTAGTGTTTTGAACTGTGCATCTGATAGATTGGCTATCTCTTGGTCACTCAAAAGGATGAGTCCTGGGGCATTGATCTGTTCTGTTGGAGACATGTCTCTCTCTCTCTTTTTTTTTTTTTTTTTTGGCCTGGTCACTCCTGTTACAGCGAAGGGTGGAGCCATAGGTGTTCACTGGGGCTGGGCACCCCAGTCGCTAGATTGTGACATTGTATGCAAGGGTGGGGGCAGGGGTGAGGGTTGTGGGGAACAATGGCGGTAGCTTTGTTCTCCTGAGACCTCAGTCCCTTCTCTGGGATCCTGGGTTGCATGCTCTGCCCTGGTCCACAATCGCCACCTCACTGGGTCTGCCAGCTGCCTCTTGCATACTCAGGGTCCACCCGCTGCAATCTTGTGTGCCCCAGATGTCTTATGTGCTCCCGGTTGCCTTAAGTGCCTGGTTCTCCCTGTTCTCTGTGCGCTGCGACCCAGGCCCGGCTGCTCCTCTCCGCCCCTCCTACTGGTCTGGATGAATGGGTGTACTTCAACTTCTTGGCTGTCCGACTTCCATTCACATAAATTTTCTGTCAGTTCTGGGTGTTATTCTGCCTCTAAATTGTTGTTGTTCTAATCTTGGTTGTGCGTGGAGGTCCAGTGCGTCCACCTATGCCTCCATCTTGCCAGAAGTCTCAGCCCCCACTTCTGTACTTCTGCCTCAAGCCACCCTGCCTGAGCTATGAGGCAATATTAGATGCCTGCTACTTGTGCTTGTGCTTGGAGATTCCAAGGCAAAGCCAAGCTTTGAATCTAGGCTGGCTGGTGCTAGTGCCTGTCCTAGGGCCACTTAGCTGGAGGGATGGAGGCTGGAGGCTCACTGAGGCCTGCAGTTGCTTGTTTGGAATGATTTAGGAAGCTGTGAACCGTGAGCAAAGATCAGCTCTTCATATGGAAAAGTTACTGTTAACAGCTTGGATGGGCCCTTAAGTTGGGTGGCACAGAATCTCAGGGGATCTTCAGGGCAGGCCAAAAAGTGTTAGCCAGGTTGATGGAGTCTCAAATATGGCGACTGCCTGCTGGCTCTGTGGTTCTGTGGGGAAAGGGTTCAGAAAGGGACAGTGGCTTCTGCCCAACTTTCTATCAGAGAGAAAACTCTCCCTGAACACTGGCCTTGATGCCCAACACTTCAGTTCTTCCCTGTGTGCCACTGGTGCCTTTTAAGCTGCTACCC